ACACATCTGAATATTTGGGTTGAAGTGTTCTGGAACAGTGTTGTAAATACAACTTAACCACTGATTTCTAGTCGTGTCCTCTTTTGGAAGGCCAAACAAAGTAGTTTCGCTTTCACAACGAAACACAGCGTCACACACGGTGGCCTAGAGTGAGCAAAGGCCAGGGGCTTGAGAACGGCGCGGCCGGCGGATTCAACGAAGGAGCGTCCGGAGGGCTTGCGGCAACCACGTGACAACCCCGGGCTGGACTCCGCTTCGTCCACGGTGAAAGCCGATCCGGCGATCCACAGCACGAAGTTGAAGTATTTCCTCAGCGACCAGCACGGATCAGCTCCAGGCATGAAGAAGCGGATATCGTCCTCTTTTGGAAGACCAAACAAAGTAGTTTCGCTTTCACAACGAAACACAGCGTCTTCATGACATGGCGGCGGCGGCAACAATACTACAGCGGCAATAAAAGTTATGCCTTCTTTCTTTGCGTGAACATTTGGACGGCGTTATGCAAATCTTCCCAGATAGTGACGTAGACGTGGGGGCGTGTTAGAACGAGCCGTTTTAGGTAGGCGTGGCTGACTCTTAACTTTTATAAAGAATATCTCTGGATTTAAGACTTTAGACTTTGCAACTTTACAGTTCTTCTTTATGCACCAAGAGCTTGTAACACTCCAAAGAGAAGGAAAAATTGAAATCACATCATATGACCCCTTTAAAAGTAGTAAGACAAACTTATCTTTCCAGTGCTGATGGAACTCCTATTGCGGTCTTTGATCTTGAAATGAGCTGATAATTAATAAAATGCAGCGCTTATCTTTCGATTTCGTTGACGTGAACTCCATTAAATTTAAATATAGCGCAGGAATTGAAGATCGGATTTATATCCGTTTTCAAGCGAAAACGCATGAAATGACCAGGTGTAAAACAGGCCCAAAAACTCCATTGGATCAGTATAATCAATTACAATCTAATGTTCAGTCACATGAATATGCTACTAGACAAGCAACAGAGGGTAGAAGATTTCTACTCCCTAATGCTAAAACTAATTTTCTTAAACATACAGTAACATTTAGGGTAATGAAATCATGGAATCTTTTACCATTTTCATTAATTAGTATAACACGGAAAATTGATTTTAAAAGGCAGAGATGTAGGAATTAATTGAATGAGCAATACGTTTTTTTTTTTATATTAGTAGGTGTTATAGATATTAAAAAGGGTGGAAGAAATGTTTATAGAGATGCTTTGGAATGTATTGAACTTTTTATTTTCTTATTTTTTAATGTATGTAATAATGTATGAATGTTAAGTGTTGTGTGGACCCCAGGAAGACTAGCAATGCTTTAGGGCATAGTTAATGGGGATCCAAATAAATAAACAAAACAAAACAAAAAATCATTGATCTCAGCAGGAACACTTAAGCATCCTGTGGAACAATGACTGAGCAAATGTGTGCTTATCAAACCCAGCCATATGATTCTGTTAATAAGATACCATTTCTTTATTTGTTTTTCTTCAAAAACAGACCAAAGTAATAGCCTTTTTTATTTTTATTGAGCATAATATTCAAACGTAATGATGTAGGTAACAATAAAGATCATCAGATAAAAATTTCTATGAAAAAAAATGAAAGCTTCTATAATAAGCCATTTTATTAACATAAGGGCACAGGTCTCCTTATAACACTGAATTCTTGGTGATTTGTGCATTATGTTTTTAGCCCTGTGGGAGTGCGATTCTTCCAGTATCAAATGCTGGATGGTCAGGAGACTTTTGTTTTGTATAAATGTTCATTTTGTTACATTTTTAAAATGGGATATTTTTCATAGTTGCAGGTTTTACAATGGATCTGCATCAAGCTCTTAACACTTTCAGAATGCCTCCCACAATATTAAGAGATGGCAAAGTCATCTGTATTTACAGATCATTAAAAAGGAAATCAAAAAGACCAAGATTAATAATCACACATGAGAATCAGCTCCAAAATAACATTTTACACAAACACACATACAGTATCCAAAGCTTCTGGGACACATTTGGTGAAAAATGACAATTGAAAAACACAATAAGTAGCAAAACAAACACCCAGAAATAAAAAAAAAATCCTACTGATTTTACACTGAAATAAACATCCGAAGCAATGGGAGGGTGTCTGTTCAAATGAGACAAATGTTAAGTTTCTGTAATATATTTATGAAATGGTTATGACAGCAAACCGAACACCAACAGAGGATAACTGACATATTTAACATGCAATCTTTTTTCTTGTTTGAAAAATAGTAAACATAAGATGTAGAGCTCATCACAGACAAACCCAGTCTTATTTTAGTATTATATTTATTATGACTGTATTTACAAATATTTGGAGTTAGCTTTTGTTTCTATATTTTCAGTTTTCAATTTAATTTTATGTGCTTTTTTCATTTTTTTTTTATATATTGTTTTAATGTCAGTTTTAGTAATTTAATACTCCAATTAAAACTTCTTTAATTTCAGTTAGTTGCCAAGGCAAAATTTCTATTTTTTATTTATTTATTCTAGTAGTTGTGGTTTTAAAAAACAACACTGGATGAACCAGGATGGACTGAGCAGCAATCAGCCATTCTGATCTGTTCCACTTTAGCTTAAAGGTTGTCAAATGCTCTACTTAGATGAAAGAAAGAAGAATGAAAAAGAAAAAGATGGGAATAATTGTCTGTGCTTATCAAACACAGCAGAGATTTAGATAAAAGGCACTGTGTGGTATCCAAATCGGATCCGTTTATTCAGAATAAGCTATGTTATTTTCAGGAAAACCAGAGAAAACCAAATCAAAAGAAATAAAGCACTTTTAAATAAAAACTTCACCACTGGGCCAGTTTCTCAGGAGTTTAATCTAGGTCATGAGCAGGACCACACAGATTCTGCTGCCGTTTTCTGCATTCAGTGCTGATTACAGGGGAGTTGTTTTAATTTAGACATGGGAAAATGAGGTAAATTGACCTGGAAATACTATGTTTTTTGTAGTTAAATAGTTTTCAAATGATATTAAAATATTATAAAAAATATTAAATAAACAAGAAAGGGCTACAGCATGTGTTGAGTTTTTTGAATGATATGCAATCCAATCTTTTGAAAATCCTACAGATTCAGTGTGGGGCTGAAAATTACATAATGGACTTACAACTACTGAAAGCACTCATATTTGGTCATAAACACATGACAGATTACTAGAACACAGGCCTGAGAGAAAACAAATGATCAAATCTATCTACTGCCATCCAAAAATACAATTATGGAATCACGCAGTACGGAACAAGCACAATTGGTCCAGAAAGCAATGCTCACCAAGGACAATCTCCTTCTCATATTCTGTCCTAAATACAACTTCCGACCTTTGTCTCTTCCATATAACCTCTGACCTTAAAATGAATTAAACAGATCTGTATTGTTCTAGGTCAGGGGTAGGCAAGTTCGGTCCTAGAGAGCCGCAGTCCTGCAGAGTTCAGCTCCAACCCTGAAAAAAAACTCACCTGCCTATAGCCTTAGTAATCCTGAAGACATTGATTAGCTTGTTCAGGTGTGTTTGATTAGGGTTGGAGCTGAACTCTGCAGGACTGCAGCTCTCTAGGACCGAACTTGCCTACCCCTGTTCTAGGTGAAGGGTCAGAGGTCAGCATTGCTCTGCACTGAGAAGAATAGCTGGTTTTCTCATCATTCAGAGAGAAAAAAAAATCCTGTTTACAGAAGTGAGGAGTTGGGAAACCAGCTTCTCTTTCAGCAAAAATAGGAACTTAAATGTGCACAAAGACACACAAGGCCACAGGAAGAGTATAAACGCACGCACACAGCAGTCATGCAAGCCTGACCTATTATAAGGCCATCGCAGCAACACACACAACAGCAGGCAGCAGAGCAGTGCAATCTGGAAACAGTGCATTTAAATCAGTACCACATATTCATCTTAACTATACATCAAACACAACCTTGACTATCAGAAGGCAGAATTATTCATAGGCTTAGTGGCAAACCTTGTGTTTCAACCTGACTGAAAGCACACCGCTAAATGCTAGTAGAGAAAACCTTTATTAGTCTAGTGCCGCTTTTCTTTGCGATCAATAATGCCGCACATATTTACACACACATATAGTACCATAACAACGTACAGGGAATAAAAGCAGACTGAGATTAAAGATCTAATAAAATTCTGATTACGAGCCAGTCTCCCTGACATGTACATTCTGTCAGCATTGTTATTCCAAACCTGTGTGACTTACTTTCTCTGTTGGAAACATTGAGAACCAAATAACATTAGAGCCCATTGACTTCTATTATATGCACAAGAAGACATTTCTCAAAATATTTTCTTCTGCACCACAGGTCAAATATTGAGGGTGAGTAAAATGACAGAACTGTCGTTTTGTATGAACTATCCGTTTAAGGCTTCTATAAGTCTTTGGAGAATAGTCCAACCTTCTTTAGATCAAAAACTAAACCTCTCAATCAACTGCAACAAAAATTACCACAAAGATCAGCGCTGCTCCCAACACTGACCATTTCTATTAACATTTGAGATTTCAGATTCAAATCTCGCAAACAAAAGAAATATAAATTGCTGGCATCAGTTCCAGCCAATTCGTAAGCGTCGCAGAGATTTTGCACGCTAATTTGCATGAGTCACATCTTCGCAAGAGAGATTTCAATCAACTCTTGATGCAAGAGTTTAAGTCCACCTACTGTGGCATGAACAAAACTTGCCAAAAGATTACTCATAAGTCCTATAAAATTTGAGAATTAGCAAAAATGCTGTATTGCTTGCAAAAAAACATAGGATTTTAGATAAGAATAGAATCTGATAGATATGCTACTTACTGTACTACATGCAATGCAAACTGCATAGAAAAGGGCAATAATCTCTGGATCAACATCAAATAGGTGTTTTGAATAGAAAATCTGATAAAACTACAGTATAACTGGTGGAAAATGCATTCAAGGAGCATCTGGAAGGTGTAGCACAGTGTCAGTTACATGATCGGCATTAGTTCCATCCAATCACTGATTCGAAGAGAGTTGCCTCTGCAGTCCAACTGGGCTCTTATTGGCTAAAAGAATAGGTGTTTCTTCCACCTAATCACAACAGGCCCACACGGGCAAACAGGAAAGGCACAAGAAAATGCGCATTTAACCCCACGGTTCCATAGACGATATAACGATACGGCAGCTCCACCTCCATGTGCTGCCTGGCCTTCCGGACGTCGCCGCTGGGAATCCCAAAGAGCCAGCAGACGAGCGGGATGGTGAGAGCCTTCATTATGGCTCTGGTAGCCAGGAGAATGATGACACCGAGGAGAAAGCGGAGTAGACAGAGTCCGATCAGGCTGAGGGTGAAAGATGGAGGTTGAAGAGGAAACATGGATGCAGGTGGGTCTGGCAAAAGGCCCAGGTGGTAGTTGATGTGGGATGCCAAGGCGATCCCTGCGCCAGAGCCCAGGATTTGGGCAGTGTCGCCGCGTGAGGTGCTCCAGGTGTCCAAGGTGAAGGAGAAGAGGCCTAGTCCTACGTGAAGTGAGATGATGATGAGCGGGGCGTAGGGATGTGAGCGGTTAAAGGTGTCGATGATGTCCAGAGCAGGACTGAAGACCACCAGGATCAGCAAACTATACAGAAAACCAGCAATAATGTCCTGAAAAGCATACAAAACACAAATATCAACGGCAAACCACAGGAACAAAAACAAAATGCATGTGAGACCCAAAGACGTCATTAAAAAACAAAAGGTGGTTTACATATGAAAGAGGCTAACATAGAGAATGTACATATTTGAATATCACCTTATTTGACATGTAAATCTGTAGAGGAAGTTTGACCTAATAATAAACAAATGTCATTCTGAATACATGTTACAAACAAGAACAGCAGGGAAAATCAATACCTGTTCACACTGACACAAATGTTTGGAACCAAAATTTGGTCTGATTTTCACATGTGACTCATGTGATTGGTCTGTTCAGACCAATGTGCAAAAAAACTGCAGACACGCTGAAGGAAAATGTAAACTTGCTCTCTGAAAGTAGGTGGCACTTTTAGAAAAGAAGTAGTAACAGCAGCGGCTCTGGGCATGTGACCAAAAGCACAAATCTTATTGGTCTGCCAGTGAGATGAAAAAATTTTTTGAAAAAAAAAAAAAGGTAATTCAGTGACTGATGGCATGTGAATATTCATGTTGGTCTAAACAAATGCATTAACAACCATTTATTCAAATTAAAATGTTTTATCACACAATTTCCACACCAAATACTCAACAGGCCTTTATACTAAGACTGAAACAGGTTAATAACTCATACAAGCAAACCTGTGGACTAAATTTGACTTAAAGGGGTGGTTCACTGTTTTTTTCTAGGCTTGATTGTGTTTATGGGGTGCAGTCTAACATGTGTTAATGCTTCGTTTGAAAAAAAAAAAAAAAGCATTATTTTTCACATAATTTACCTTTATTCCACACCGCTCTGTCCCTTCTTTGAGAAACATGCTGATCATTTCCTTCTTTTATGAAGCCCCTCCCTCAGAAATAGGCGATGGGCTCTGATTGGTTAGCTAGCCCAGTGTGTTGTGATTGGCTAAACCACCTCTAGTGCGCGTCTAATCGTCCCGCCCCTCTCCTCAGTGGCATGTGCTCCGGTTGAATTGTAAACAACCGCGTCGTTAATATCGCTTCTCAGTTTGAGCCCGATTGAGAAGCAGAGGATATTATTGAAGAGAATCATGCAGAATCTGTGCAAGCACGGCTTTTAATGGTAGGCCTAGGTTTTGTTTGTTGTTGTCTCATACTTTTAGATATGCTCTCACAATTTTTCTTTTTAACAAAATGAGATTTAAGACAAATTAATAGTTATAAGACATAACCGACTGTGTTTTTGAGAATACTTGCCGAGACAGTTATTTTGAGATCATTTTGTATGTACAGGTGCATCTCAATAAATTAGAATGTCATGGAAAAGTTCATTTATTTCAGTAATTCAACTCAAAT